ATAGAGATTGTCTGGTTTGCCGACTCTAGAACACGCAACATATAATTGTCCATGTGAGAAGCAATCTGTGTCTAGATCTAAACCGCACAATTCTAAAGATTGGCCCTGAGCTTTGTTGATGGTGATTGCAAACGCCAATCGAATTGGGAATTGCAATCTCTTAAATTGAAATGGCATATCCGTTGGAATCATAGGAATGAGGACATCTTCACCTTTGAAAGGTCCTGTCAAGATTGTTGCTTCTACGATGTTGCTCATTAATTTTTTTACTGCAAGCCGCGTGCCATTGCAAAGCCTTGGCTGGTTCATATTTCGCAACATGATAATTGGCACGCCGATTTTCAATTGCAGTACGTGCGGTGGCATCCCTGGCAGATCGAGTGAATTCAAAAATTCTGTTGGATAATTAACCGCTTCATCTGCTTCCACAACAGTGTCGACGGACTTGTATGTAACTGCCTAGCTTTGAATGTTAGACTGAATGTTAGACGAAATTGTTAAGTTCGTAGACATCTTTGTTCTTGGCCGCAAGAATAGCTCGTTCACTCAGCCAACAGATGGCGCTGTTTTTCAAAAAAAGCATGTTTTTACCTGTCACAGGTGTGACCTCTATATAATAGTAGGTATATAAAAACATGTGCGTATTCGAATGCAACGTTGTGTCAAAATTTCAAAGCAATCGGTGAAGAACTTTCGGAGATTTAAGATTTTGAACAAACGAACATTTACATTTTTATTTATATAGATAAAGATGAAACAGTTGCCAAGCAGCCAAATTTTGATCATGTGGCCACAGGGATGCTACAACAGTTGTAAATGTGAAAAACGGTCCTTTCACTTTTGTCAGTGCTGTTGTAACTTTGAATGGTCACTAAAGGAAAGGTGGTAAGTCAAGGACTATCTGTATTTATTTTACTCTATGCAAGTTTAGAGTCAGTTTGGTATAGTGCTTAAGACATCAGGTTAGAAACCAGGAGAACATGAGTTCTAATCCTGCCTTGGGCACAAAGCCAGCTAGGTGATCTTAGAGCCAGTCACTCTATCGCGGCCCTAGAAAGAAGGCAATAACAAATCACCTCTGAAAAACCTTGCCAAGAAAACTGTAGGGACTTGAAAGGTAGTCTGTGAGAACTGGACACAACTGAACAAAAGAAAAAATGTATGCAAGTTTACTTGAATAGGTCCCTGATCACATGTGTATTTATTACTCTACTAGGAGTAAGGAGTCTTACAGAAAAACAAGCTCCAAACCCTAAAGGACTTTAAAGATTATAACCAGCACTATGAATTTCACATGGACATAAACTGGCAACCAATGTAACTCCTGAAATATTAGTGTTACATGACAATATTGGCTTTATCTTTTGAACATCCAGGCCACTACATTGTAGATTAGTTATTCTCAACATTCCTGGAAAGGAACATCTGTCTTTTCCATTTCATTACCATCTTTACTACTCATGATTTTCTAATGTAGCAAGACTTTGCTTGTTATCCCTTCATCCAGCCCACCCAATTTCATGCAATTTCAGTCAGGTCAACTTCCCTTTGTCGTCTCCATTTCCCTTGGCTCAAACACTGTCATCTTCCCTTGCTTTTTAGACCTGAAAAAATTAGTTAATAATCTTCAGTCCCCCAAATTGGTTCCTTCTTACTATTCTCTGAAACTTGGGAGTAATCACTCTCCCACTATCCCAAGAATCTACTGTTACTCCCTAACAATTGAGGAAAAAATATATCAGTTACAAATTGTATTGCAAGAGTGTCATAAATTATTTACATTAATCAGGCAGCAGGATTTAAAACAATACTGGAACTATTTCCACAAATAATACAAGGAAATTGTTGGCCTGTGCCATACTAAAATGTTATACCATAAGACTCTATACCAGCAAACAGCAGAATTATGTATTGAAACAAAGAAGTATCTTTAAAAACATGGCACAATGCCACAGTATTATAAATAAAAATTACTCATGCATCAAGATGATATCTAATCATACTGCTAAAAAGTCAGATCTATGCCAAATCCTTTTTTTCTCATGTAGCAGTAACATCCTTTTAAACCTCAACAGACCATTTAACCTTCTCATGAATGAAATCAGACTCACCCTTCCCATTATCTATTCTCTGCTAAATAATTCCCATTTTTTTCTTCTTACCCACTCCTTTCAAAAACAATATTAAATCAAAAGCCAAAATTAGCAATCCCAACTTAATACGTTTGTATAACATGTCATGCTAAAACAAATAAATCTTATTACATGGTGCACTGATTCTCAATATAAGCTAAGACTTAATGCGATTCTGGTTTACCACATTGTGCTTATATACAGCAACTTTCTTCCTTTCATGAAATTTGTAGTCTTCAAAGTCTTGGAAAGTATATTTCAATATTGTGATGTGTTCAGACAATGTTTTACCTTTTATATCTTACAAATTCAAATTGTGAACTTAAAAGCAAGACAGAAAGCATATAGATAGATGCATTCAAATTCTGGCCCTAAAACAAGACTTTTAAGGATACTGAAGACAGCCAGGAAAATCAACAAGTGGATCATAGAACAAATCAATTAAGGATTTTCATTTAAAGCATGAATGATCAGGCACATACTATGATATTTTGAGCACATTATGCAAAGACCCAGTTTCCTGGAGAAGTCCACAATGCTGGGGAACGACGAAGGAAAGAGAGAAAAAGAGGATGGCCAGCAGCAAGGTGATTGGATTCAGCTCGGAGAGGAGTGAATGCACCAGCGAGAAAATTACAACATCGAGCCGAAGACAGATTATCTGAGAGAACTTCTATTTACGAGGTCCACGAGGGTCGACACCAACTTGATGTCACTTCATCAATCCTTGGAAGTCCTTCCTGGCTGCACTTCATTCCTCCTTAAGTAGGGGGCGCCCTCTCTAAAGACTTTCTTCCCGGAGCGCATGCGCTCCACGCGCAGGGCAGCTTTTCCTTCAGCTCGCTCAAACCCGGAAGCATCCTTCAGTCGGCCGTGCGCGTGCCGTCCTTTCAGTTTTTTTTTTCTCCCTGTGCTTCCCACAGCTGTTCTACCCCCCCCCCTCGAGTTCCCGTCTCGTCTCGACCCCTTTCACTTTTTTTTTAAATACCGCTGAGCTCTTCCCTATAAATTATATATATATATATAAAGGCAAGATCTCCCCCCCCCCATTAAATTTGCCGTGCCTTTTGATTGGCTGGTAGAAAAGTTTCTGCCGCTGTTTTCAAGAAGCGGAAGCGAGAGGCCGGCTGGCTGCAAGACTTGAGTGGCGTTTGTGTGCTCGTTTCTTCCCCCCCCCCCCATCCCCTCTTGGTCGCGGGGCGCGCGAGCCTAGAATAGAAGCGATCCAACGCTCTGAGCGCGCGGCGGGACGGAGGAGCGGGTGCGGATGGGTGAGCGCGCGCGGAGATAGCGGCGCAGAGCTGCACCGGGTCGCAAGCAAGCAAGCGAGGGGGAAACGACGGGCAGGGGAAGATAACCCAGTTACCCAGGAGAGTCGGGTCGAAACGAACGTGGAAATGCAGCCCAAACCCCGGCCACACCAATAGCAAACGCCAAGCTTTCCTTTCTGACCTGCCCCCCCCCTTTTTTTTAAAGCCATAACCCACCAACCCGGTTTCTCCACTTATTCTCGAAGCCTTCGTTATCATTTCTGTTCTTTCAGTGCCATTAAACGGAGGTTTCGCCTTGACAGTATCCCTTTCCGGGTACTCTGATTAGAGAGTACCCGGGCGACACACCTCTTTGCAAGTACAGCTCATCCAATTGTTAGGTTCCCTCCCATTTCTCTGCACCCAACAGAGAATTTCTAGAGGCCCTCCCCTCTTAAGGCACTGGAGTATCCTCAGAAGCAGGAAAGCACCTGCCCCAACTGCGAATTGGCAGTTGACACCTGTGCAGGTATGAGCACCAAGAAAGTAGCTCTCATCACTGGCATTACTGGCCAGGTAGGTATAGTTGAACTTAGTTTCATCTAATGTTATAGAAAATATTGCATAACATGCTTTATTCAAGACAAAGGGTGTGTGTGGGGGGGGAATTGTGTGCTTGGAAATCACTGGACAAAGGGGATCTATGCAGATTATTTATTTATCCATCACCCATCTATTTATCCATCACATTTTTACACTGCCCACCTCACCTAAGTGACTCTGGGCAGCTTACAGTAAAATATTAAATGCTGAATTTACTTCCTGGTGTTTCCTGCAATGCATTCCTAAGGACAACCGTGGCAATGAATACATTTGTTCATAGGTATATTGTAAGGATATTTGATGGTGACTGTGTATCTAGTTCAATATTTATGTATTGTTTTGAAACATCTCAATGTGCTGTTTTTTCCCCACTTGTAATACTTTTAACAGAGGATTCCAAAAAATGGGCATTACTAAATACAAAAGTCTATTTTTTTTAACTTACAGGTTGTCGTGGTCCCATTTCATAAAGCCTTATTTTTTTAATGGTATATATTTGCAAAGGGGCAATTTTTGTATTTCATATAAGGGTAAAAGAATTCCTATATGGAGGAACCACTTCCGTACAAGAATGTGTAATATGAGAAGTTCCCCTTAAGTATATTGTGCTTGGAATTGCCCAAGTGTCATGTTTTTTTGCTCATTTAATAGGATGATCTGAAGGAAAAACCGTTACATCTCCTTGGTAGCATGTTTAGTAATTACTAAAGGAGTTACTAGGATTTTATAGAAGTCACATCCTGGAATGTTTTTGATAGGTAATCAGAATTGATCATATTTTACTATTTGAAAGTGCATTTTCAATATGCAGACAGGCTGCCTGCAAAATGGCTAGCACCTGGACTGCTGGTGCCCTGTCCCTTTAAGACAGTGTTTCTCAACCTTGACAATTTTAAGGCATGTGGACTTCAACTCCCAGAATTCCACAGCCAGCATTGCTGGCTGTGGAATTCTGGGAGTTGAAGTCCACATGCCTTAACATTGTCAAGGTTGAGAAACACTGCTTTAAGACCTCTCTCTAGCCACCAGCAGCCTGTGGCTGTAAAAGCTGAGCAGATAGGCAGCTGAGTACAGCGGTTTTGCTATGAAAATGAGAGGGAAGGTGTTTTTTTTTTCTTTTTATGGAATTAAAGGAGCCTGAAGCAGCCTAAGGCAAATAGAAGAGTTGCTGTTTGCCAGCTGTAGGGCTGACCTGAGTATATGTAAAGAACAGGTGACAAATGCTCTTCATTTTTATTAGTTCAAAGGGCCATGATAGCTCTACCAGTAAAGTGTTGAGCAATAGGCGGTGGCCTTTGTTTCTTTGCATAGTTTATTCATATCCTTGTGATTTATAAGCGGATCCAAAATGATCCAGGAAGTAGTTGATAAATTATATCTTGACAATCTATTTCAACATCTGGGTTTAAGAGAGAGAGACAACTCTCTCTTAAAGACAACTGGGTTTAATCAAGGAGAATGATGATAATTGCCAACTGGTCCTGTTCTCTTTTTCTAACATTTATTTATTTAATCGATCAAAGTTATATGTTGCCTGTATCATAACTCTAGGCTAGGCATGTCAAACTGCCGGCCCACGGGCCGGATGCATCACACCGAAACTGCGCCCACCCCATTGCTGGCAATGGGGGAAAAGTTCCGATACGTGACATCGTGCAACGTCACATGGCGTTGCGAGTTTGACATGCCTGCTCTAGGCAGTTTACAGAGTAGAATACTTAATGGCCAAACAACAATAAAAAAAACACAACTAATGTCAAATGACAATAGAATGACAAAACATCCAAAGCAAAGCAAATAACGTAAGCATCTACAAAGCAGTACAGAATGGGCATCTTTATTGAAGTATCACAGAATTAGTAAAGGCGACACTGACATGTTCTATACAGATATAATAGAGACAAAGCACTGTACTTTGTCTGTTTTGAGGTAGAGTTGGACTTCAACAATTACTGCAACAATGGACTTCCAGTGCCCCCATTATGCTAGTCCTGCAATAATAAATCTTTTAGGCTCAGTTATATCAAAAATTCAGAAAATGCCTAAGTTAACTCTGCTGGCATGTTACACATAACCCCCATCCAAAACAAAAGAAAAACAATTCTTTATATACTCATTTATTTTTTTAAAAAGTACAGTTCAATCATGTGTGCGTTCACCGGGATCTATTGTGTCCTGCTTATCTTCAGGGAGTGTTCTTTTTCTGTTGACAAGCCCCTATAGCAGTTCCAGGTCACACAAAGCCTTCATTCTTAAAGTGGCTTTGGAAAACTTTTGACTGCCTCTGCAGCCTCTGAAAACTGCACTAAAGAATATTCTTGTGTGATTTTCAGGGGCTCTGGTGACTGTGCCAAGAGCACAGCCCTCCTGTGAGATTTCTAGAGGCCAGATGAGAACACATCTAATTCTTGCACAACCTGTTGTAAGAGCAGGTTGTGCTTTCTAGAATATTTGTTTTCAGGTGTTGGTGAATGCTAGTGTGTCACCAAGAATGTTGCGGTGTGTCACCTTGGACATATGTGTCATACGTTTGCCATAACTGCTAAATTCTGCACTTCCAGACTGGGACTGCAGAGCCATCACCATATTCACAGATGAACTGCACAACAGGATGTCTTCTTCAAACTGAGAAATAAATTGTACTTGCATTTCATGGGGCTGATTTTTTTTTTTAATAAATGATGTTACAAAGCTGTGGAACTAGCTAGTTACAACTAACTTAAATTGCATAGATCACCTGTATGTGTCAGGGTAAAAATCGATTCATGTCATTTGTGCATGGCTAAATAATTTATTAATAATGCTACTAAACTAAACCAAACTATCCATGTTTTATTCTGCAATATAGGGACAAATTTGGAAAAAGTAATATTAAATATGCCTAACATAGGCCTTGTAAGCCAATTAGGGAAAATGTTTGCAGTTATGAAAGTAATGTAATGGTTTGGAATTACATATACCAAAGTGAAGGTAAGGGAATACATAACCAAATATTCGATATTCTGCTCTTATTCAGATAATCAAACTTGTTTAGTTTATGTTTATCTGAATTATTCTGAATGAGTCAAATTCAATTTGATTTCAGTTGCTGACTCAGTCAGGGTCTCTGAAGTTATTCACTTTGGATTACCAAACTGGACTTTTAAATTCAGCCACAGTTTATTCAATTCAGGAAAAAGTCTTTCACTACATTATTGAATTGTTGGATTATTTTGTATCATTAAACTGATTACTATCAAATGGATGATCCAATTTGGAAAGCTGAGTATTTTGGACATACAACTGAATTATCTCCAAGTAAATTTTTGCACAGACTTACCTTCATAGCAGCATTATTTCTGAGACCCAAAGTGCTAAAAATGGGACAAGAGTCTAATTTCCTAATTTGAAAATTAGAATAGTCTAATAATCTGGCTACAGATTGGAATTGAGATCTGGGAAACCTGGGTTCATGTGCCAACTTGGTGCTGAAATCACTTTCTTATGCCTGGATTTATATATAACAAATAAATGTGAAGTCTGTCTGTCCAGGAAAATCTGTTGAACAGAATGGTAAACGTTGTTATCTCAGCAGAGCTTATATATAGTTCTTAATATATTATCATAGGAATTCTTGGAAAGTCAAGAAATAAGGAATAATTCCTTACTTTTAGTTAAATGTATTGGTTAAATGAAAATAAACTATGTGAATTAGGAATCTAAAATTCTATCCTATGGTGTGTGTTCTTTTTGTCTCTCTATGGAAAATATAAATTATTTTTTTTTAAGGACAATCTAAGTTCAGATTACAGTTGCAACAATTGTAATCATCATTATCTAGATTGTATTTTATTATCTTGGGAATGAATGTGTAGACTGGAAAATTAAATGATCCTTGTTATTGCCAAAGTTTATAAACCTTGGAATTGAATTTGGAGAATGAACATGTGATCCATTGCATGATGCAATGGGCAAAGAATTTAGGGTATAATATAATGCTTCTATCATGGGAAAACGAATTGGATGAATGGTTTAAAATTTACATTAAATTATAATCTAAAAGATTTTTTTAATAAAATGATGTGTCATTGGTATTTAACACCTAAAAACTGTCAAAGTAGTACAAAGATATTTTAAATGTATGTTGGAAAGAAATATTGGGTAAGATTCATATTTTAATGCAGAAGTTCCTTAAAATTAGTATAAAAATAAAATCAGAGACTTTTCTTTTAGGCTTTAGGATTAGATAAGTTTGTTGTTATAGAAATGACTGATATGGGCTAGTACGTGAACGTAAAAAAGTTGAGGCTGTAATGTTACTACTTATTCTACTAGACTAAAAAGAGTCGGAAGTCAATATTTCTTGTTTATCCCCTCTTTACCATACATTGCTTTCTGTTCCCTTTTTTCTTCCCCCTTTTTCCCATCATTTTCGCTTTCTTTTGAATTTTACTGTACATCTTGATAAACGTAATAAAATTATTATTAAAAAGGCAATTAAGCGATTCTGCATATGAAAACCAATTGAAGGCATAATAAAATTAGCCAGTATTCTCTAATATAAATTACCAATATTTAAGTGAAAAGATTACTCTTCCTTTTTCTTGCTGAGTTTTGGAACAAGGATACCATCAATTGAGATTTCTATTTGGAGACAGAAGGTTAGCTTACACTGTGAGAGCCCCTGCTCAAGAGTGTGTATTAATGGACAGTAACTTTTTTGCCAAAGTATACAATCACTGATGTGATATTTTTTTTCTTTGTTATAATCCTTTTATCATTTTGAAGTCCCGAAGAAGAGCCAGGATAACTCTACAGTTGTCATTCATTTAAAAATCTGTATAAGCTGAAATGAGTTAAAACCTGCCAACATGTCCTTAAAAATATTCATATCCGGTAATATCAATATTGTACCCATATTATATGTTTCATATTAAATTTTCTTTTTCTGTTTTGTTTTAATATCAAATGGAAACTCAAGGCATATTAATTCC